AACCAACGGCAGCTTCTCTTCCTGAAACGTGAATGGTCTGTGAATGGCACTCAGGCCCAGCGCTGGGGCCTGACGGGCGGGAAGTGATTGCTTCCACGCCCACCCTTGAGACATGCAGTTCAGGTAGGACCAACTGACAGTCTCCAAGGTGGGGCATGGGAGGAGTCACTGTATGGGACATACCCAAGCTAGATGTCCATGGGAGGGATTATTAGGCCTGAGTTTCCCGAGTGTCCAGGACACCTTGAAGAACCCGTCTCCCGAAGGATGCCTCGGGCGAGGCATAGGTATCTAGCCGGTAGTGTTTGATGAATGGTTAAGGAGAGGACCAGGCTGCAGCTCTGCAGATGTCCTCGATGGGAGCATGGGTGGCCCAGGCCGCTGAGGTGGCTGCACTCCTGGTGGAGTGTGCAGTAATGCCCTGTGGCACGGGCAGCCCTCGGGCCTCGTAGGCCTGGAGATGGCCAGTCTAATCCACCTGCTGATGGTGGTAGGCGAGACCTTGGCACTTTTGGCAGACGTGTGGTAGGAGACAAAGAGTGCCTCCGACCGTCTGAAGGGGGCTGTGCGCTTGAGGTAAATGTGCAGGGCCCTTCTTACGTCTAGGCGATGCCAGGACTTCTCCCTCTTGGAGGAAGGGTGAGGACAGAAGTCTGGGAGAATGATCTCTTGTCCCCTGTGGAAGGGGGAATTGAAAGCCGGGTCAAGTCTGAGGATGACTCTGTTATTGTGGAAGGTACAGAGGTCGGCCCTAGAAGAAAGAGCGTTAAGCTTGGAAACCCTCCTGGCCAAGGTGATGGCCACAAGGAAGACAACTTTGAGGGTGAGAAGTTGAAGGGTAACTTCCCTAAGGGGTTCGAAGGGTGGCTCCAGGAGTGCCTGGAGAACCATGGGAAGATCCCAGGAGGGAAACCGGTGGACCACCGGAGGCCAGAGGTTGGCCGTTCCCCTAAGGAATCTCTTGATGACTGGAACCTGGGAGAGGGACTGTGAACCCTCCCCTCGGAGGATGGTGGCTAGAGACGATACCTGTCTGCGTAGGGTGTTGTGAGCCAAACCTTTATCCAAGCCGTCCTGGAGGAAGTCCAGGACCTGAGGGATGGAGGCTGATGACGGCTCTACCTGCCTGGGTTGGCACCAGGCGGCGAAGGCAGCCCATGTCACGTCATAGATGCGGGTAGTGGATCTCCTTCTGGAAGCCTCCAGGGTGCTGATGACTCTAGAAGAGATCTGGGACACCCTCAATTGCTCCCGCTCAAGACCAGGCGGTTAGATTGAGCCACTCTGGGTCTGGGTGGATCAGACTCCCCTGGCGCAGCTCTATCCTCTCCTGTGGGAGACGCCAAGGGGGAAGGACTGACAACTCCCCCATATCCGCAAACNGGCTGGTTCCAGAGAATTATTAACACCTCTTTACGGGAGGGATCTTTCCCGCAGCCCCTAAAGGTTGCAGTGGTGAGACCCCTTCTTAAGAAACCTTCTCTGGATCCAGCTATTCTTAATAACTATTGTCCAGTCTCCAACCTACCCTTTGTTGGGAAGGTTGTTGAGAAGGTGGTGGCCTTTCAACTCCGACGGTTCTTGGATGAAGCTGACTATCTTGATCCCTTCCAGTCGGGTTTCAGGCCTGGTTACTCCACCGAAACTGCTTTGGTCACGCTGACCGATGATCTCTAGCGGGCCAGGGATAGAGGATTTTCCTCTATAGAGGATTTTCCTCTATCCTGGTGCTTCTTGAGCTCTCAGCGGCCTTTGATACCATCGACCATGGTATCCTTCTGCAAAGACTGGGGGAGGTAGGAGTGGGAGGCACCGTTTTACGGTGGTTCTCCTCTTATCTCTCTGACAGGTCGCAGTCGGTGTTGGTAGGAGGACAGAGGTCGACCCCTAGGCCCTCCAAATATGGGGTGCCGCAGGGCTTGGTCCTGTCCCCTCTCCTATTTAACATCTACAGCCCGTGGCAAAGACTGCCTCTACCTTCCCTTCTACCCCCTTCCCACGCAATGTAAGTTTGGCTTTGATGACAAAGGGGCGGACAGCTGTAGTTATCATCAGGTCATCTTCGCTGCTGTTTTCCTCTGCTGAGCCTGGAAGGGTTTCACCGTCTGGCAGACTGTCTCCTCAGGTTGGGGAGAGACTTCGTCCATTTGGTCGGCGAGATGACTCTTTTTGGGTGGTTTTCATGGGGTCCTTCTTGTCCCACTTGTGGCGGGGTACGCGCTTGTGGGATTGGGGCCAGGTCCAAGCATTCCAAAGCTCTGTGCCCATGTTGGCTACACCAGTAGCACTTTATTGTTCCAGCTGATTTGGGGGTAGATGGCTTGGCTTGCTTTGTTTGGGTTCGGCATCCCAGGGGTCTTCTAGCCAGCTTTTCAGTGGTCAGCTTTTGGTGGGGATTGAGGTCGTGGTCCAGAATAACTGCAGTAGTATACCAATTCTGGATGTGCTCCGTTACCCCTCGGATGCTGCACGCCCTCTCAGTTTAGGATCTAGGGCATTCTTGAACGAGTTTCTCCTAAACTCCCAAACTAATTCTTTTGCGGGATGCCTGGCCTGCCTCAACCCTTGGATTTGTGCTTCCGCTTCCACATGTTCGGCAATACTGTTAAACCGGATTCGCATCTGTTGAACAAATCCATCAGCGTCTTCTAATTCAGGAGCTGCTTCATCGTGGAGCTCTGCTACCCATTCGGATGCCTCCCCCTCATTCATTCCTTCCGTAACGGCCGAAACCAGTTCGTGGTCGTAAGGGTATTGATTTCTGTATTGGTTGATGTGAGCCCAAACTCCATTTAGGAAATAGGCTAGCTTTCCAGGAGTCCCATCAAACATTGCCCGAAATTGGGAAGGTGCAGGAGCTGGTGGAGCTGATTCCTGGATTTGCACGGGCAGTTGGGCAGGAACTTGGGGCTGGACCCCCTCCCCCCTGCAGCGCTTGACACTGGTCTTATTTGGATGCTGATTTTCTATTCTTTTTCTTTTTTTTCAGATTGTGAATACTGTTCCGGCATATGATCTAGCTGACCTGTTTTCTAGAGAGGGATTCATTGATGATGATCCTTTCTTGACAGCTGTGTTAAAGATCTATAATAAAACTGGCTTATTTATTGACAGACTTTACCAGAAAAATATTATTGTAAGAAACAGTTATGGATTATTTAACAAACTATTAAAAAGTGAGCTTTAAGTATAATATGTATGTACAGTATAAACATTATTATAAACTAGATTTAATATAGCTGCCCACTCCAGGGACTCTGGGCAACTTACAGAATGTAATACTAGTAACCAGATCTTATGCCATGAAAGCCTTTAAAAGTAAGTACCAGCGCCTTGAATTGCATTCATGGCACAGCAGTGACACGTGTCCGTTGCTGCTTGCCCTGCTACATTTTGAACCAGCTATAACTTTCATAACAGTCTTTCTCAACCTCAGTTCTGGTTGAGAATTGAAGTACACACATGTTAAAGTTGCTGTGATTAAAAAACCCTGTTGCAGATGGCCTAGAGGGCAGCCTTGTCTGAAATGCTGGCAAAGTTCAATTGCTAGGTCCTCCCAGTCAAGGAAAGGGCATAATTGGCCCACGAGATGTATCGGCATTGGTTTTTTTTTATTGTTCTCATCCCTGGTTAGATTTCTAGCACTCAGATCTTAGTTCTACAGCTTTCCTCTTGCAGGACATTCTTCCAAACAGCACCAAGGCAGCTCTTTGGGCTGGGCTGTGGCCCAGTGTGGTTTCTAGCAGCGAAGAGGCTGAGGTGTCCTTGTGGCTGGATAGACGCTTGGCTGATTTCTTCATGTTTCTTAATGGTGATATGTTGAATGCTAGTGAGACCTTGAACACCAGCTGTGGGACATTCCAAAAAATGTAAGTATGTAGCCATGTCAATATGCTGACATGGAGTCCTACCTCACTTTGGAACTCTCCAGATAGATGGCACTGCAGTATCCAACTAATGGGAATTAGGAATGGAGGAGCCAGAGCTGGACACATCTTTGGGAAACAAATAGATCTAATTCAGAATAGGTCCCATACAACTCTCTCACATGTTCCAACATCCCCACTCTTTAGCATTTTTTGAAAAAGAAGACTTGCTTTCTATAAGCAATTATAGTGATGGCGGCACAGTGGTTAGAATACCGCATTGCAGGCCAACTGCCCATAACCAGGAGTTTGGCTTAAACTCAGCCTTCCGAGGTTAGTAAAACGAGGACCCAGATTTCTGGGGGCAAGTTGCTGACTTTGTAAAGCACTTAGAGGGGTCTGTAAAGCACTATGAAGCGGTTATTGTTATAAGCATTTTATAATGAGAGTGTTGTCAATTTTCTTTCCTATCATTGGTACACTAATTGTATACTCATTCCTATCTTTGGTACACTGGGTGAAACCAGGCTTAATAGCAGTAACTGTGAGAGGGATCTTGGAGTCTTAGAGGGCAAACAATTAAATATGAACCAGCAGTGGTTCAGCCAAAAAACCCAATGCAATCCTAAGTTGCATTAACAGAGGGATACAATGAAGATCAAGTGAGGTATTAATATCATTCTCTAAAGCCTTAGTAAGACTACACCTAGAATACTGTATCCAGTTTTGGTCACCACACTATAAAAAGATGGTGAGACTCTAGGAAAAGTACAGAGAAGAGCAACCAGTATGATGAGGGGATTGGAGGCTAAAACATATGATGAATTGTTGCAGGAAGTGGGCCTGCCTAGGGAAGAGTCTAGGGAAGAGAAGGACCAGGGGAGACATGATAGCAGTCTTTCAATAGTTGAGGGGCTGTGACAAAGAGGAGGGGGTTAAGCTATTTTCCAAAGCACCTGAAGGCCACACAAGGAACAATGGATGGAAACTGAACAAGGAAATATTCAACCTGGAAATAAGGAGAACTTTTCTGACAGTGAGAGCAATCAACCAATGGAACAACTTGCCTTTGGAGGTTGTGGGAGCTTCATCACTGGAAGTTTTCAAAAAGAGACTGGACTGCCATCTGTCAGAAATGGTGTAGGGTCCCCTGCTTAGGTCCCTAAGGTCCCTTTCAACTCCATTAATCCTTTAAAATGTCTTTAAAATGTCTCTAGCTTCTTCCATTCAACATTTTATTTATGTTCTGCTTGTTGGAACTTACATTACACCCAATAAGATTTTGAATTCTGAATCAAAGAGATTGTTTATTTTTATGTGTTTATCTAATAGTTTGGCTAAGTGGTGGTCAGCTAGTAAAGCTAATGAGTTTGCAAGAAAGAAGTCTGCTTCTCTGAGATTTTCTCTCTCTCTCTACTGGCCAATATTTACTCCATACCTCTCATTCTGCAGAGTGAACAAACTGAATGAAAATATTGTGATGTTCAAAGATAAGGAAGAAGAAATTTACTTTTCCATCAAAGCTTATCTGATTGGTAAGGCCATGGAAGAAGTTTTCTTTCTGTTTCCCTCGCAAGAGGTGCTGCATGTAGAGCTGACTATAGGCCCAACATGTAACCATACATAGCTCACATGTAACACCTTCTCAGATCAGCACATGGCACAAGGACCTTCACATCAGAATGAGGTTCATTAAGTCTCTACAAGTCTTCAATGTAGTTTTGAAATAGGTTGGCTTATAAAAGCCAATGTCCACCTAAGTTGGAGTCCTCATGTAAAAAGGTCTGTCAAAACTCCTGCACATAAAGTTTCCCTCACAAGTTTAAAGGAGGAAGAAAAAGCCATATATCTATTTCAAACTGCTTGCTGTAGTAGAAATCCCTTATTTATGTGTCACTATGACAGTGTGATATATCTGTCTTGATCTCAAGTCTTGGAGTTGAGATGACCACAGACTGATCCTGCTGGTTTTCTGCCAGGAACAGTCAGAAAGAAAACGATACCAGTAATTGCCACCAGTCTGGATCCCATAACATTGTTAACTCCTAATTCTTAGCATTGTATTAATATTAGCTAGTTTGTTTATAGCATTTTCTAGTGGTATTAAAAATGCAAGTGCTTTAAAGTACTTTAAAAACTATAAAATAAAAACCAGGATAAAAATGTATCAAAGAGACCAGTGTCTGGAATTAGATTTCTTTAAAAATAACTGGAATAATTTTTCATACAGCAAGCAAAAGCAGACCACGATGCTACAATCCCAGCAATCCCGAGAGGTCCAATTGGCTTGTGATGTATCTTGGGAACTATATTCGTTATAGCAGTGCCAGAGACATGCGCTTATTCACAAACAAGAGTGCTGCCATAGTACGTATTGCTGCTGGAATTGTTTTAAACAAAACCTGTTGGGAAAACTGAAGTCTGAGCAAATTCTCTTTAGAAAATAATAACTTATGCCTGATACGTTTATTGTTAATTTTTATTCAACCCACAGGGATAACATCACATTGTTTAGAACAATGGAATGATCAATGGGGCCTCTGCTGTGGGGTCAGTAAAGCTAAGATAACAACTGTGATTAATGGGCAGAGTTTTAATTGCACAGCCATGGTTGCCATCTTTTTTCATTCCATGTGAATAAATAGATTATATTCAAAATATTTTGAATACAACTTTTTCTTGGTTAAGTAAGTTTATTATTTCCTATTATAGAATGTCAGTTGGTCCTACCTGAACTGCATGTCTCAAGGGTGGGCGTGGGAGCAGTCACTGTGTGNGTTTTTAATAGCTCAGTCAATGGGAGGGCAATTTCCGCAAAAGTCAGAATGAACTGCCGCTAGAAATTGGCAAATCCAAGGGAAGCTTTGCAGTTGTCTGCGAGTGCTTGGAGGTTTCCAGTCAAACAAAGCTTTCACTTTTCCTGGATCCATTTCTATCCCCTCGTTGGAGATGCGAAACCCCAAGTAATCTAGTGAGGTCTTGTGGAACTCACACTTCGACAACTTTGCGTATAGCTTGGCGGCCAGAAGTTTTTTCAGGACTTGCCGTACCAGCTTTCCTCGTTCTTCTAGGGTTTCAGAGAAGATCAAGGTGTCATCTAGATAAACGAGCACTCCGCGGTACAGGTGCTCCTATAGTACCTCATTTATGTACTGCATGAAGACTGTGGGTGCTTCTTGTAGCCCAAATGGCATGACTTTGTACTGAAAACTGCCAAGGGGGGTGTTAAAAGCGGTCTTCCACTCATCTCCCTCTCTGATCCATTTGCGGTAATACGTCTCTCTCAAGTCCAGCTTGGTGAAGATCTTGCCTTTAGCCAAGTGGTTCAACATATCTTTCATGAGGGGAAGGGGATAAGTGTTCTTTTCGCATACCACATTCAAGGCTCACAGATCAACACAGAGACGAACCCCGCCATCTTTCTTTTCTCTGAAGAGAACTGGGGCCGCTACTTTCGACTTCGCTGGTTCAATAAAGCCCCGTTTCAAATTGATGTCAAAGTACTTCCTCAATTCAACCATCTCTTTGGGAGTCATGGAGTACATTTTCAGCTTTGGTAAAGTAGCCCCAGGTTTAAAGTCTATTGCGCAATCTGTGGGCCGGTGAGGGGGAAGATAGTTGCAATCTTCCTCACTGAACACCCCCGCTAAGTCCCAGTAGTCTTTTGCTACTTGATGGATCCCTGGGGGTTTGGTGTCTGCTGCAGGTGCTGCAGGTTCCGAACGGTCTGGGCTGTTGGGTTCAATCATTCCTGGGTGGCCTTTTGGCTCCACCAGTGGTAACGGCCCAAAGCCGATAATCAATTTTCTAGCACCATCTTCCCACTTTATTGTAGGTGCCCACTTGTCCAGCCATGCAAGTCCCAAGATAATTGATTCCTGCATTGTTGGAGCTACGATGAATCTGGGGAATTCTTAGTGGCGACCTATCATCAACTTTACTAACTTGGTAATTTTTGTGGCTGGGGCCCCTCCAATCAGTGTTCCATCCACTTGCTCAAACCGATTGGGAAGGTTTAGGGGTCTTGTGCGTATACCTAGTTGCTCCACAATCGACATGCTAATTAAGCATCGGGTGCAGCCAGTGTCCACAATTGTCCCAAGTTCCCCTTCCACTCCCGTTTCTGGCACTTGGAGGTTGCATTTTATTATAAAGGGGTGGATGGGTGCACTAACCATTGAGTCATCTTCGGCATTTTCCTCCTCTAAGGCCTCCCCATTGGTAGGACTTTTTGTCACCTTAGGTTGGGGATACTTTTCCGGAGGTTGTTGGCCCAGATGACTCTTCTGTGCTAGTTTCTGGGGCC